CAAAGATCGATCAATAGCCCTGACATTCGAGAGAAGGAATTCACCCCCCCCCATATGGTTTTGTCCATGTTCTTTTTTCCTCCCTTTCCCATTCTTATAATTCTTTAAGTAAAACTCAAAAGACATTTTGTGGGCCATAAAACATCTCCGTCCACAGCACAAAGCCTGGTTAAACAATTCCCAGTAGTGAGGAACAGAAGCAGCAGATGAAACAATGAAAGGAGATAGAAGTGGAAGCAGGTTATTGGAGGGATGTTTCTTTTGAAACATAAATGACAAAGCACTGTGAAACTACTAGTCAAGAATTTCTGGAATACCAGACTGCCTCATCTTAGAGTTTGAACATGAATGATTCAACTTTCCCAGCTCTTAAATAATTCAGAATTTACCATTGTAGCTTTATAGTTTGATACAACTAAATCTACAGAATAACTGTGAAAGATTGATGCTTTCAGCTTCACAGAAAACCTATAAAATAAAAGAACACTGCTCCCAGTTTGCAGACAGCCAGAGATAAGGCCACCTAGGAAGGTGATGAATGAAATAGCATTTTGTATTGAAGTCTGGCATTTCAAAATGAATACAGGAAATGTTGGACACACACACTCTATCTGCTATGGGTTACAGACATCCCAAACTTCCACCTCATAATGTAAATGCCTAATCTATATCTTGCATAAAGGTTCCAAATTACTGTTGCTAAACAGTTATCAGCCAGTTTACATCTCTTGCAGACTGGGCATCAGCCTTCTGCATTGGATGATCCTATCAAATCAATTGTATCACATAGCAACTACTTAAAAACACAAATCCCTCTTACTTTGTGCCCAGACACATAAGATGTTAGCACACAATCCCCATTCTTTCTGCAATAACATTAATGAAAGGAAGCACGTACATGCCAGTTTGGAATCAGCCCTTATCGCATGTGTATTCAATTGCAGAAATGGGGCTGTTACAACCATGTACAGTCCTACACATTCTTTCCCAGACTGCTCCTTAACCTGCATCTTGGACCTATTGCTCTACTCAGCATGCCTTTCACTTTTTCATTTTCATTTCTCTTTTTAACACAGTTTAGCAACTATGAAAATGTGATGGGGTGGGGGGGGGAGAGAAAATGTGTAGAAAAAGAGAAAAGAAGCCAGATTGAGACTAGTAAAGGAGAGAGGGGAGAGGGAGAAAGAAGACTGAGACCATAGAACTGCCCGATCCTAAAACTGAAGCTTGAATCTTATTGTAGCTTATTTTTTTTAACTTTTGTATGTTTTCAGTCTTAATTTTATACTGTTTTAACTAGGTTGTTCCAATTGTTGTTGTTGTTTTAATGTTTTGAAAGTGTTTTATTTTGTGAGCCACCTTCGGGACCTTTTTGGGACAAAGGTGGAATAAAAATGAAATAAATAAATACACAAAATAATAAATGGCACAGGAGTGTTAATGCTATAGCAGCATGATTGGCAACTATTGACAGATGTTGCCCAACAATGAAATGGCATGCCACAGCCATAGGTGGACTACAGACCAGCTACAAAGCCATCACAACATCATCTGATAAGGTTTAGCCATAGATGCTACTAAAGGTAAAGATAAACGTATTCCCCATTGACAACGTTGTCAAGTCATGTCTGACCATAGGAGGTGGTGCTCATCTCCGTTCCTAAGCCAAAGAGCTGGTCTTGTCAGAGACTACTCTGTGATCATGTGGCCAGCATGATTGCACAGAATGCTGTTTACCTTCCCACTTAAGTGGCACCTATTTATCTACTTGCATTTGCATGCTTTCAAACTGCTAGGTTGGCAAAAGCTCAGACTAGTGATGGGAGCTCACCCAATCATGCAGCACCTGGGCCTCGAACTGCCAACATGCCAATCTTGCATTCAACAGAGTCAACATCTTAACCACTTGACCCACCACATCCCTTACTATCCTGCTTCTTTTCCACTTTTCTACCCATGTGTGGTAATCTCCATCATCATTCTAGCCTACTATCCTGCTTCAATTCCACTTTTCTACCTGTGTGTAATAATCTCCATAATCATTCTAGCCTGTCACTACAAAGTTAAGCTTTGCCTGCTGTGCCCCCAAAATATCTTATCAGCTGCATACTTTCTACACAGCTGTTACATTGCTATTTGGGTCCAGCTCTTCCCCAAATGATTATCCACCCAGGTTATCTTATAACTCTTGAATCCCACTAGACCTAGAAATGGGGTGGAAATCATCTGCCTTAAGGCACATCTACAACCTGGAAAGGGGTCCTTTTCACAATTCCCATTTTAAAAAAAATCAGCAAAGAATGCCATTTTACATTTTTCAAAAAATAGACTCTAAGGACCAATTCTGTTTTGGCTAATAAACGGGCCTACCTTGAAACTGCATGGAAGTTACTATGAATGAAATCCGATCACTGAAACCATTTTTGCTGCTGGTCACCATGAGGCCCCAAGGAGCTAAAAAATGTTCCTCTGGCCCACAACACATACCCTTTCCTAACCTAGAGTCTTGGAGGAGGAAATACATATAATATCTGAGGAAAAAGAAGAACCAGGCAATGACCTTTTAGATCTAGGTTTGATCAGTGTGGCCAGTCAAATAAAAATATGATAGTTAAATATATCAGGAATCCCACTCTGTAGATCACACTTTTCCTTTCCTTGTCGCATTATCATTAGAGTATCATTTTAAAAAGCTAACTCTACAGCAGTCCAGGAGTCTTTTCATACTACACAACTACAACAAATTGGTTCCAGTTTAACTCTCAAGATTTCAATCCTTTGTAATCCTGGGATTTATAATCTGGTGAGGGACTAGAGCTCTGTGGCAGCAAATTTTAAAAGCCTCATAAATTATTCTATATAAATATAGTAAATTCCTGAGCTCCCTCCCATTTTTAAAAAAGATATCACATGGAAATAGGTGGATGGATATTCATTAGATTTGGAGGGCATGATTGGAATTGTCTAATTTAAAATATGGGCTGACCCTCTCACTATTTTCCTATTTTCCCTACCGAATTTGGAGGACATACCATTCAACCCTCTGCCATGCAGGAATACACAATCAAAGTACCCTCAACAGATGGCCATCCAAGTCAGTGTGTTCCACTGTCAAACAGCTCTTAGTATTAGGAAGTTCTTCCCAATATTTAGGCGGAATCTCTTTTCCAGTAATTTGAATCCATTGCTCCATGTCCTAGTCTCTGAAGAACTAGAAAACAAACTTGCTCCATCCTCAATATGACATCCCTTCAAATATTTAAACGTGGCTGTAAATTATCCCTTAACCATCTCTTCTCCAGGATAAACATATCAGCTCCCTAAGTCTCTCCTCATAAGAATGGTTTGCAGACCTTTCACCATTTTGGTCACCCTCCCCTGGACAAGCTCCAGCTTGTCAACATCTTTCTTGAATTGTGATGACCAGAACTGAACACAATATTCCAGGTGAGGTCTAACCAAAGCAGAATAGAGTGGTGCTATCACTTCCCTTGGTATATACTCCTGTTGATGGTCAGATTGGGTTGATCTGACTTCAGATATGGGCCATGGGATGTCCATTAAATTCATGTGGGTGCTGGGGCCTCCCCAGTTATTTTTAATTCACAGAAAGTGGTGTGGCACATAATTTCAAAGATATGGATATGGTGAATTAAAAAAGATTAGTTTTGAATTTTTCCCACAACTATATAAAACAAATTTGAGTATTTCCCTGTTTGTCTATTGTTCCCATTTCATACATAAAGGACTGAATGGGGTTTCATTGGATTTGGAGGGAATGTTTGTGACAGCCTGATTTAACATATATACTATACAGTGTACATGAAATTCACTAGGAAGGCAAGGGGTTTTCCAATGATTTTTGCCCCCCACTGATATAGAGTGGCATGTTTGGCAACTGACTGGAAGAGGCTTGTTCTGTCAAGGGCTACTGAGACTGCAGTATGAGGACCATCTGAGCACCCAAAAAAAAAATGAGAGATTTAAAAAATAAGCAAAGATATGGTTAATGAACAATGTCTATTCTATAATATTTCAATGGCTTAAAAAAAAAGTTGACCATGTCTTCAGCATGAATAATCTCCTTCCCATAAAAAGTAACATTTGCAATTTCTAAGAGTGGAGGGGAAAATTGCATATTGCCATCTAAATAAGCTCATAACAGAAACATTTCTGCATACTCATGGTGGATTTCTTTGAAGAAATTACTCACTAAATGAAGCCAGCTTGGCTCACTCCCTGTTGTCTTCTGCCAGAAGAAAAACTTAGAAACTTTTGGCAACTGACTAATTGCCAAGTAAGGAGCTTTTACTGGGTGAGTAGTGATTTATATTTTTAATGGATGTAGTTTTAAATTGCTCTTAATTCAGATGTTTCAATATTATTATTATTTAACGTTGTTTCTGTGGTGACTGAAATCCTACATTGGGGTTGCATGGAATAAGTCTTCATATGCACAATTATGTATTAATAGTATCTCACAACCCTTGTAATGAATGACAATGTTGTGCAGGTGAGTTTACCAGCAAATATATATCCATGCAGCAGGGACAATATTCATCCCTGCCCAGTGGCGCTACATGCACAACTTCTCCTTCAGTCTTGAACATAAGGGAGATGTTCCACATGATGAATATATGTGTGCATATCACATCAGTAGGATTCCAGCCTTTATAGCAATTTGGGTCGTGTTTTTTATATCTTTTTGAATAATGTTGATATAAGTTATCTTGAGCCCCAATTTTTTCAGAAAGAACTCAGTACAGGTATACATCAAAAATGTTTTAAGTAATTTGATGTTGTGGAATAAGCCAGTTTCACAAATTTGGGACAAGAAGTCTTGCTGCTGAGTGCCTTCAAGTCATTTCTGACATATGGCAACCCTAAGATTGACCTATCACAGGGTTTTCTTAGCATGATTTGTGTAGAGCAGATTTGCCTGTGCCTTCCTTTGAAGCTGAAAGAGTGTGACTTTCCCAAGGTCACCTAGTGGGTTTCCATGTCTGAGGGAGGATTTGAACATTGGTCTCCTGAGACATAGTCCAGTGCTCAAACCACTAGACCACACTGGCTCTCTAGCAAGAGTCTAGTCTTTAAAAATATCAGCCACCTCATCACAAAATATATAGCCAATTAGCACCTTGGAGGAAAATGAATATATACTGAGTGATAAGAACTTCCAGAGACCAAGAGCTGTTTGACAGTGGAATGTGCCACCTCAGAGTGTGTTGGAGTCTCCATCTTTGAAGATTTTTATACAGAGGCTGGATGGATGGTCATCTGTTGAGGGTGCTCTGATGGTGTATTTCTGCGTGGCAGAGGATTAGACTGGATGGCCCTTGATGTCACTTCCAACTCTATGATTCTATGCCCTGACCATTTTAGAAAGCATTTTTTCTTGTAAATATAACTTGTTCCCTTCCCTGTGCCCATGACCCAAACAGGTAGTTTCATTTTTAATGCAACACACACAAACATATAGAAACCAGGATGCTCTTATATATCCTTACCTTCCATTCAATCCACCATGAAATTCTGAAGATGACTACTGTTATGCTAGAAGTGGTTCATCATCCTCTCCCACAAAGTAAAGAGGTATTTGGAATTGAGGGAATGTGGCTCATTTATAAGCAAGATTTTTTTTTAAGTAATCAAAAGAAGATCCCTTGCAACATCCCAGTGAAGTCTACAATAATAATTAATGTCTGTATTTTCCTTGGACAACATCACTGTGTTTTCCTAAGTATCTTGAAAAATAAACTTTATAAGCACATTTATTTCCCCTCCTGGGGATACACTTGATGCCACCATTCAGCTGTTGGTGATGTATTTCTCCTTGGCATGTGCTGTACGAGTGTTGCTGGGGCAACACCCGTATTTCCTGCCTGGAATCTTGCCTTCTCCCCTGCCCATCTTCAAAATACCATATAGAAAACCAAAATTTCCAGCCAGTTCTCAAACTTGGATGGGATTAAGGAAGGACTAAAAGAGGACTCTTTCCTAGACTTGCCCACATGGCTTTCCCTCAAAGCAAGAGACCTGGGAACAGGGAAGTAGATTTGCAGTGACCTTTGTAATCACTGTAATCTTTCTTCCCTGCCTAGAAGAAAGCCCACCCTGCAGTCTTTCAAACCTGACTATAGTATCATTTATTTGTTTATTTCTGGCCTTTGTCCCGATATAGGGACTCAAGGAGGCAGTAGTCCATCCTTATCCACAGAGGATACATTCCAAGACCCAAGTAGATGCTTGAAACATTGGATAGTACAGACCTCTGTACCAGCAATGTTTTCAGACTGTAACTGAACATGGGTAACAGAAACCACAGAAAACAGAATTGTAGATAAGGGGAGACTACATAATATTTTGGACCGTGGCTGACTGTGGGTAACTGAAACAACCAAAAGTAAAACCACACATAAAGGTGGACTACTGTATGTGTATCTGAAGAATAGGAAGTATGTTGTTGTATTTTTCATTGAACTGCTCGACAGTTGTCATCTACATTTTTTTGTGGGTTTTTCGGGCCGCACAGCCCAAAAAACCCACAAAAAAAAACTATGCATGATGGCCGTGAAAGCCTTTGACTTCACAGTTGTCATCTATCATCTGTCTGCCTCTCTTCCTCTCTCTCTCCTGCCTTTCTCTTAGCCTAGGACTTCAGGTGGCTTACAACAACCAAAAAATGTACAATAAAAGGACAAATAGATAAAAATATACAAAAGTTGAGCTTAAAACAGACTAAACTAACAGCAGAATCAAAACCATTTAAATATGTGTCATGCCCCAGGAATAAATACACTTGCTTTAACTATGCAAATTTGCAGCTGGCCACCATACAAGTTTGAGGAACCAGGTTCAGGGATGAATGCAGGAGCACACCCAAGCTGCAAATGTACATCATCAAGAGGAAATATAACCTCATCCAACACAGGCTGCATCCCTATTCCCTTCTTATACCACAATAGTCATAGATGGTGCTAGAATCTTTCTGGCTGGCAGCACTGTCGTACTTCAATATTA